CAGATGGCCTATTTAAGTAGAGATTGTTGATTAACTACCATTATTCATTTTCAGATCATACATTTAATCTGCACTTAAATAGCAAATATTGGCTATTTAAATATGAGATATGCAACCCTGTGTTTGTACCAAACAACCAAGATTGATTGGTAGGTTGTTTAATCAATCCCACCAAAAACAATCAGCTGTTCAGCACAAAATGTAAACAAACAAGCAAATGCAACAACAATTTCAAGGAACAAGCAGCAGCGCTGCCAATTGTTTGGCATATTTAAACAAAGTTGATCTGAAACCCAACGAAAGTTAAATGGTATTTAAACAACAATCGACAATTAAACTTAAGTGCCATTTAAATATTCATTTGAAATCGGCCCTAAGAAATGGTGGGTTAATTACACGCATTTCAATAATTTGACGATTTGAGCGCGTCGCAAAGGATTGCAAACTTGCAAAAAAAACGTTACCTTGACATTCTCGAGCGCGGTCAATTTTTTTTTATTATGAAGCAAACAGCTCAACGATAAAGGGACGAATTTTTATGCAAAATTAAAAAAATAACAATTATTTTTGATTTTTTTATTATAAATCCAAAATAACAATTATTTTTGATTTTTATATTATGTCTTAGATAACAGTTATTGAAGACTTTTATTTATAAAAGTCATTAGCAGCGCCGAAGAAAATACGCAAGAAAAAATCCATTTTTAACGCTTAGATAAGCACTAAATAAAACATTGGTAAATATACTCGCAAAATAACAAAATTTAGTGTATAGGTTAATGTTTTTTTTTTTATTTAGTTTATTTCAAGGATTGAAAAATAACAATGGACAGTCAAGTGTTGCTTGATATTTTCAAATAATAGAGATCTGCGCTGGTCGTTTTAATTTTTTAAATATTCGTTATTCTTCACTTGAGATAAACTGTTTTTAATCTCTTCAGTAACCTAATGCCCTCCCGTAGAGTAAAACCATTGGTTTAAAATTTTTGTACCCAAGCAGAAATGCAATTGAAGTTACGGGTTGATAAAAACCAAATCCGTTTTTAAGCGACTTCACTAAAGAGTAAAGGTTATCAGTTCGTCGGAATATTTTGTATTTTTTTATGTATGTTACCGCATAACTTTGGACCACTTTAACCGATTTCTATAATTCTTTTTTTAAAACAGGTGGTCCCATACTAATTTGGTTTAAATCCGATCATTTGGTCATGAAGAAATTAACGATAATCTTAGATTTTTATATGAGAATTGAAGTCGGTTTGGTTTTTTGCTTAAAAATTACTTCTTATGTTATTATTTGCAAACATTTTTTTAGTTCGATGAATAAAAAAAAATTTACGCCAAAGAAATGGTCAAGAAAAATTTATTGAGCCAAATTTTCTTAAGCAGTACGAAGTTCTTAAGAAATTTATACGGAAGGAAAAAGTGATACAGCAGGCTGTAAAATATCAGATTTCAAAACTCCTTGGAGACTACTATTGACACACACGAAATATTTATTTCTTGACCGTTTTCTTAAAAGGTCCGTACTTAGCTCTATACATTGAAATAACCAAATAAGCATGATCGTTAAAATTAAGCTTGGAAACCCTGAATAAGCAAAATAAGAAATTTTAAGCAAAAGCTTAAACCTCTCGGCCCTGGTCATAAATAAAGCTTAGTCAGTGACTTTTGCTTTTAAAAGTCATTAATATAAATCAGTCACCCACTTTTATTTTTTAAATCATTCGTATAAAAGTCATTAACATTTTTCGCAGTTAAGGTGTTGGGATTCAAAAGTTTACTACGACTTATAGAAATGACTTTTATAAGCATGATTTAAAAAATAAAGGTCAGTGACTGAGGCCATTCATGTCAAATGTCCCAAGCGCGCTGAGCGGTGCAAAACAAGCTTTTTTTTCGACTACCTGGGAACTAGACAGAAAATAGGAAAAATAATTCGAATACTATGATTTCTATAGATTTTTGTACGGGCTATCCGATGGTACTATGCGTTTTCCAAAATTTTTCCATTTTCATGGTGAAAATTCTGAACGAAAATTTATTTGTAATTTTTCTCAATTATATTAATTAATTAGTTATCGCAATCGAAATATCAGGTCTTTTTACATAGAAATCATTAATAAAAAAGGGACTTTTTTTGTTGTTTTTTCCGGGTTATAAAGCGTTTTAGAACGCGCTAAACAAGTTGCGGCGTTTCGTCCCGTCATTTCGGCGCCGCTTACTTGCACGAATTGAAACATCAATCTGTGATAGCCAATTTTAACAAAATTGTCATTTAAATTCGCTATATCTCAGTCGTTTGTGTATTGATCGATTTGAAATTTTCACACAATAAACTACAAACTAAGTAAAAACAAAACTACAGGGGTTTTTCAACTGTTTTATGAGAATTGAGAGGGTGGTTTTTTCAAATGTAAAAGTTGTGTTATAAAGTTTGAAAACATGTTTTTGTCTTAAAACAGTATTGTAGATGACTATCTAAGGAAGTTTTTGCGAAAGTTTCAGATTTAAACATCAACAGGTCTATTCTGCGCTGGTAATAAAAAGTTTGTAACCGGTAAATAAAGTTCCTGTCAATGTTTAAACCCTTTTCGCATTCTTTGTATTCTTGTAACCGGTAAATTTTGTTACCATCTCATAAGCTGGTAACAAAGTATTGCCCCGTGAAATATGCAATGCCAGAATTTGCACAATTCTTCATAGCTGAATTGCTGAATATAATATAACTGCATTACCAACGTTCCTAGAATCGCGGTGACAAGAACTGGTAACATTTTTTGGTAATAAACTTTTCCGGTTACAAAATCTTCGGTAACGTGCAGAATATACCTGCAAGTATCTAGTTGCAAAGTTGTAACAATATTATTATGTCCCGCACGGTTGGCAGA